CTGATCAGTGCTCTCCAATGGCTTAGTAACCTCTTACTGATATTGATGGCCCTCTATAATATACCCAGGCTTTTTCACATGGCACCCTTTCTAGGGTCTTATATTTTTACTAGAGGCTCGATGCATGAAAATTCATGCAAGAGTAGGCCTTCCTTCCCCCGGCTGCTGGCAGCAGCTTCCCTCTGGCACCTGGGACCCAGCTGGCTTCCCTCTGGCCCTGGCTTCGTCAGGAAGGATGTCTGGAATGACATCTGGAAGATGTCGGTCTAATTAGCATATTACCTTTTTATTATTATAAATATGGCTAAGTTCACCACCTTTAGGAATTATGTTCACTCTAAAGTGTTTGCTTATTAAATACCACATTGTCCCCAAATATCTTTCATGTCTATCCCAAAAGACTTTTCATAACTTCCCAAATAAATAGGATCTTTCTGTCTTATGGGTGTTACTAGCTCCTGTATTTTAGATGTCTTATTACCACTTTAGTGATTATAAATTCATTGAGAAGAAAGCCTGTATGCATTCATCTTGTGTACCAAGCAGTGCCTAATTTCTGTGCCTTGTGCATAATAGTAACTTGATAAACATTTATTAATTTAAAAATTGCAGCTCAGGCCCTCCCTTGGCTTATTTCTTGGTGCTCTTCCAAAGACAGAATTCAAGACAGCATCATAACTTTAACACAGTTTGCAGTTCAGTAAGTGCTTATGGCAGTAAATATTTATTCACCCTATTAATCACCATGAAGATAAATGAGCCAAGAATCAAATATATGAAGTGTTGCTACTGACATTTGCTCATGTTTCAGATAAAGCTTTGCTGCTTTCAGGAAGTTATTTGATTTACTCATTTTGGGTAAATCACATGTATATTCCTGATTTTTTTTGTGGGCCTGTTTATAATATGTTAATGATTAATTTTAAACTATGTCACTCAGACTCTACATACATGTGAGAAGGCTAAGCCACTTTTTAACCACTTCAAGTACTTATAACAATCACAAATTATCTACCTTATACACATGCCCTAAATTATCCTATCTAATAATAGACAAACATGGTAATTGACCATACCTTCGCTATGCCTCCCATTGGCTAATCAGCATGATATGCAAATTAACCGCCAATAAAGGTGGTGGCTAATTTGCATAATACAGTTGGGGCTGGCAGCACACCGGGGCCGGTAGCGCCCGACACTGCCCGGGGGATCCGGGCCTTGGATCCATGACCTGGTGAGGGAGCACAAAGTGGCGGAAGGGCGAAAACCCAGGTGGCAGAGAAGGGAGGGAGCTGAGGGCTAAGCGGTGAAGGGAGGGAGTGAGGCAGTGGAGAAGGGAGCAAAGCCCACCTCGGTCTCAGGAAGCCCTATTCTTGCAGGAATAGAGCCGAGGAAGCCCTATTCTTGCAGGAATCTTCCAGCAACGGGCCTCTAGTAATTATATAATTATTAAATGATTTTTTTATTTTGCTGACAACCAATTTACAGTAAAAATTATTGTGGATTTAATATTTCACTTCATGATTTTAATGGAAAATATTCACTGCTTAATTGAGAAATCATATATACAGTATATAACATCTGTTATGTGATATTTGCACATGATATGTTTGTATGCATAATACAGAGGCATAGGACAGCCATGCACTGGAGCCTATGCTACTAGCTCCTGAGAGCCAACTGTGCTCATCTCTCCCAACCAGGAGTTTACTGACCTCATGTTGGTAGCTTGAAACCCACCATGCAGGATTTAAGACATGGAAATCGCCTGATTCTACAGGTCAGACTTTTTTTGGCCCTGGAGATCCAGTTGTTACATTTTTATTGGCACACCCCTGTGTTTCTGTGTGTGTGTATGCACAATATGTACATATGCAGTAAGCCATGCTAGAAAGAAAAAGCAACTATGAAAAAAGTCAGCTTTCTTGCATTATTCATTATTTATCTGCTTATCATAATTTATTTTGTAAATAGCTAAGATGAAGTAATGTTACAACATAGACTCCCTTAATACTTAATCCTGGCAACACTGGGAACTCAGCAGCAAGGGATAAGTTAATGCAGTTTCTCAGGGACAGAATGTTTCTGAAACCCAAAACCATGTTTTAATGATGCGTTTACAATGTAAACAGGAAGTTAAATGTGCATTTGCAGGAAATGCATAGGTTTAAAATTTATTGATGGAATTGTTGTATATCAATAAGAAATACATCTAAATTTCAGATACATTTTAAATAAATAATTGTACTCCCTTCTGCTATCTGATTCCACTTGCATAGTGATTTATTTTCAAGAATAACATGGCTGCTTGCTTTCTGAATTGATTTGTAAAGACTGCTGAGGGAATTTCAGCTCATGAATAGAAATTAATTTTCTTCTGAAAGCATTTGTCAGAGAATGTTAGCGCTAGAACAAATATAAGAGGTCATCTAATCTCAAAACTCTGCTCACCACCTCCATTCCACCTGAGAAATAAACCTCCCAGAGTAACAATGACTCACCAAGTTACCGATGCTGAGTAGGATGGTAGAGATTTAGCAGAATCTCTAATTGAAGATAAAGCTCCACAGATCATTATAATCTACTAGAGGTCTGGTGCACACACAATTGGCGCATGGTGGGGGAAGTGGGGGGAGTCCCTAAGCCCAGCTTGTACCCTCTCGCAATCCAGGACCCCTCAGGGGATGTCCGACTGCCAATTTAGGTCCCTGCGGGATCAGGCCTAAATCGGAAGTTTGACATCCCTCTCACAATCCAGGACTGCTGGCTCCTAACCACTCGCCTGCCTGCCTGCTTACCTGATCACCCCTAACTCCCTCTGCTTGCCTATCTGATCACCCCTAACCACTCGCCTGCCTGCCTTGATTGCCCCTAACCACTTGTTTGTGGGGTGGGGCCAGCCCGGTGAGAGGCCGCGGTGGTCTGGTCTCGGATCATGACGCTTGGCCTCCCTACCCCCCCCTGCCTGCCTGCTTACCTGATCCCCCCTAACTCCCTC